ATATATGAGGTGAGCAAACTGTTGACCTTTAGAGTTCCAGTCAAATTCAAAAATATATAGAAACACAGTCCATTTTCAGTTATCCTCACAGAGCTGAGAGGTAATGCAGTTGACCCCAAAATCTTTCTCATGTGACTTTGAAATATTTATTTAACTTACACGAGAATTGTATGTCCTGGGGGCTCCTTTCAATCAAAAGTGAAGGCACAGAGACAAACTTTGTCTCAGGAAGGATTAGAAGAGCCTCGCTAGTTCCTATAACCCCCTGTAGTGCTTGGAGAGGGCGACTGACTGGCCTGATGCAAAGCATCAGTCGTAGTGGCTCCACTCCTTATGGTAAATTCTCCCAGAGGGTTAGGTTGCCTTGCAAGCTGAGTGAAAAATAAATATTAAGACAAAGGAATGAGGGGACAACTAAGAAAATGGTAAACTATACACTTCAGAGAACGAGATTTGCCCCTGGATAAACGTGAAATTTGGATAATCAGCTAGCAGTTAACTGACAGTTGGCTTTGGCAGCAAATAGGGTCAGCTCCAAGTTTTGTGCAGCATGAAGCTCATACAATTTGGACGGGGGGGCGTTGGGTGGGGGACACGCTTTACAGAAAAGAATATATAGTTCGTAGTATAAATTAGGCATAGGACATGCCAAGGCTCCTGCTGGTGCGGGACCCTGAAACTTAAGCTTCATTTACTTCAAGGTAAATCCACCTCTGGGAGTAGACTTCGGTGTGGGATTAGTTTACCTTCCTGGGCATGTTACCTTTTTAAAAAATCATCAGTTAGAGCTGGAGCTCTAAATTACTTCACAATGCTGGAACAGCAGGCATCTTCAGTACGCATCCTTCTCCACAAAGAGCAGGGAACCCACAACCCAAGCAAGAACCTAGGTGGTTTGTGATTACTTTGCTGGCATTTGTGCCTTTTTGGTACCCAGCTGCAGCTTCCTGGGCCTGACGCTGAGGGTAAGTGTGAAAGAAATAATGGAAATGCCCTTCCCAAAAGGAGGAAGTAAATTGAAGGAATAAGTTTGTGATGATGCCTTGTGCAATCATGTCCTTAACCATATCTTTCAAAGGCACATGTATTAGGGTCTGGCTCCCTCAGAACCCTTTACAAAGAGGATGGGCCTCCAAGTTTCTCCTGAACATCTTTAGGTCATGGGAGTCTCTGAGATCTAACAAATGATATGAACACGCAGCAGCTGCNCAGCTAGCAGTTAACTGACAGTTGGCTTTGGCAGCAAATAGGGTCAGCTCCAAGTTTTGTGGGGCATGAAGCTCATACAATTTGGACAGGGGTGGGTTGGGTGGGGGACACGCTTTACAGAAAAGAATATATAGTTTGTAGTATAAATTAGGCATAGGACATGCCAAGGCTCCTGCTGGTGCGGGACCCTGAAACTTAAGCTTCATTTACTTCAAGGTAAATCCACCTCTGGGAGTAGACTTCGGTGTGGGATTAGTTTACCTTCCTGGGCATGTTACCTTCTTAAAAAATCATCAATTAGAGCTGGAGCTCTAAATTACTTCACAATGC